CAACAAAAACTAGGTGCTACTCTGCTTGCATATTTATCGGACAGTTATGAATACAGCTGATGACAGATAATGAATCATATTGATAATTAAACTATCAATCAACAACGTTCTTTAGAAGCATGTTGGCAGACTTTCATAGAGTTCTCGTAGGGATGAATTTTTCTATGGTTACTTTTCACGTTGATCCTGACTTTGATCAGCTGATTGATGAAAATATAAGTTTTTCGATCTATGACGACAATAGAATGTTTGATTTCAGTAAAACGGAAACATCTTTAGGAGGCGAACAACTTATGATAGATCCCAATAACAATCATTTGGTTTTTTTACGAAACTCGAGATTTATGCTTTCCATCGCATTTAGTATTCGACTGAAACTCAAATACCATCTAGTTCCATATTAAGATTACATTCAACGGTTGATATTCAATTCTCAAAACCAATATATATAACTAAAATTGTATCATTGATAGTTTAAGTATTACGATAATTAATATTTGAATGACGCTTAAAATTAATTGAAATAAACGTTTATGAGGAAAAAAAAGTTTGTTGAAAATGAAACGGTGAATTTACTGACTAGGTAATACAGTTCTTCGCGAGTGTTTTTCCTTTCCTTCTCACTTGGTATAGACTTCAAAAATTATTATTTTCTGTCGCGATGACCTCAAGAACGAAAAGATAGTAGATACTCGTTCAAGCAGGACAATGAACTCTCGTGATCGAATCTATACAATCCATTCTGTGATCTTTAATACGATGTTTCATTCTCTCACAGAAAGCCATCCAAAAGGCAAGTTTTTGTAGACAGTGTTTTGTTTTCAAGTTTCAAGATTATCAAAACGAAGACAGCAATAAAAGTTAGCGGTCTCTCACTCCATGCTTATAACAGACACCGCTGTCAATGCAGTTGATGTTTATATCCGCTAACAGATATCGTTTAATTATGAATTTCGCAATGGCCACTGCACAGTTTCTTTTTGACTTTGATTATCTGATTAGTTGAAACGTTAGTTTTTCGGTTCACAGCGAGAAAAAAGAAGCCCCAATTCTCTTATAGTGTAGTTATCGTTTAGAGAAAAGCGTGTTATGTTCAATCATCCAAAAAATTATTCGTTTCTTATTAGAAAATATTGATTTATCTATCAATCGACATTGAAAGCTTTTCACTTCGTTTTGCAGTCGAGTGAAAGTCGAATGTCATCTAGTTTGTTCAAAAAATTTACCCTACAATTTTGTTCATTTTGCTGTTTTTATATTTTTGACATTCTGTTAAAGTAGGAAAAACTTTATCTTCAGCCATTTTCTAGTGGTAAACTTTTAAAAAAAATTTTATATTCAAATGTTTCTTGTTTTGTTTTTATACTTATGAATAATATTTTATTGTGTTGTAAGTTTACTGATCGTAAGCTTAAATGTATATTAAATGAGATTATCACTGTTAATATATATGGCAATAGACTTTCCAGCAAGAAAAATAAACCTAAGAGCTTCTCAAGATTCCAAAGAACTCCTTGAAATTCTTAACAATTTTTTTAAGATTCTTTGATTCCATAAATTTCTAGCATTTCATTATTTTCTGCTTGCAGTCAAATCAATATCTTATAGTTAACCACTGCAACTGAAACAATGATCTCAATGATTTCAAGCTTTTGTTTTACTTTGACTTGTAAGCCCAAAATATTGACAATACTATTTTAAGCAAAAAGCAGTGCATAGAAAATAATTTATCAACCAGCTTCATTTTTCACAAATTACAAAAGATGTCACCAATCTAATATTCATCAGAAAACCGATAGAAATCAGTTTTGTTTATCAAGTCAAATATTGATGTGTTAAAGCACGATAACTCTCATCTAGGAAGAAATATGAGTCATCTAGTTTTGTTTTAAGAGTTATAAAAAGATTTTTCAGTTTTTGTTTCATTTTAAAACTTGGTGCAGTTCTGATCAAATAAAATAGAATCAGTTTAGAAGCTTGTATAACAATGAATAAATATCATTAGAACTATTAGTTTAATAAATTTCACGTTTGATTGTTTGAATTTTTATTTTTTTAAATTTAGGAGTAATTAATAAAGTTAACTAAACCTTCAACTTTGTACAAATAATCGAGTTTTCATAAATTTCACCTTGTCTCAATAATTTATAACACTTCTTTGGTAGAATGGTTATTTTTATTAGAATTTATTTTTAATTTCTAACATACTGTTGCCGATTTTCTTTCTTGGTTCATTATAAAAAAAGTTATAAGTTTATCGATGTTGTATTTGGTTACTAAAAAAGATGCAATCACAGACTCCATACTTATGATTATTCACAAAAATCAATTCGCTAGGTATATGTGCCCAGATATATAAAACACAACCACTTCACTAGTATACAAAGAACGATAGGATTCATCTGGCTATTAATATAAAACATTATATTGGCAACGTTTACCTACTGAATTAGATGAAAAAAAAAATGAGTAAGTGCTATATAACGATCGAATTAAATTCGATTTAACTTTTTCCTTTCTACGCATTTGAATCTATATGAAAGTGTAAGTAAAACATCTTGTCATTTATGAAATGTAATTGAATTTTTTTATCTTAACTTTAGTTTAAACTTTTTTCAGCTTATTTTTGGCAAAAAAACATAGTACGTACATGAATTATCCTATTACATATTTGGCAATGATCTGGAATTCTCGAGTTAAAAAGTATGATTACATAAGTGTTGTTTAATTTCATCGAAGTTGATGATTTTTCTCTTATGTGGAAAAGTTCTCAAGCGATAAATCGCTTTCGAGTTAAAACTTTATTCAGTCAATTAAGTATGCTAAGTAGATAAATACTCTAGCTTAGTTGAAAAATATTTCAAAAGTTTTCGACCAAGAGTCTTCAAGACATGAATTTTTCAAAATATTCATTTTTTTAAAGGAACCATGATAAAGTGCTTATATTTTAAAAATCTACACAAGAAAAAACAGCTAAAAATTCGATATCTCAGTTACACAACATATCCAGTAGGTCGAATCAATCTAAGATATTTACTTACTCACTAGACCCCCATCGATTGAATATAGTTTCAGCTAAAAGCTCATCTATTACTTGAGAGCATTTTCTTCTAAGTAGGTGTCGTCGTTTTGTATATACTTCAAAAATACGTATAATCGATTATATATGTATTGTGCCAATTGAATATTTCAATGACAGATTAATATCAATTTCTATGTAATAACGACCTTCAGAGAGTTTCATGTGCATTATCTTTTTGAAAGATGCAAGAAGAACGCTCCTGCCTTTCGACTACCTTGCATTATGGGGTGCTATTTAGCCACAGCTTTAATGATCCAATATATTCCATACAACTGATACTAGTTCTAACTCGGGACAAAAGGACGGCATGATGCTGAGTTCTTCCACTCAATTACTTGGACACTCTATACACACTAACTAATTACATGCTAGCTACAAGAGCAGGTATATATCACAGCTTGGTCAGCATGCAATCAAATAGATGATCTGAGAAAAACAGCTATTAGTGACTAGTCGAGGGTAATTTCATGGCTAATTGTACCGATGTTTAAGCACAGTACCTCTTGGATAAGTGTCGAACAGCGTAGTCACTTAACTATGGTAGTCCGAGCTTTTTGAATTTATGTAAGATGTCAGCAATTCAATGTTCAATTAAATTCTTTTTTTTCATATGGTTCCATAGAACGTGAGCTGCTGCTCACGAAAAACTAGTGCTTAGTGTTAATGGACGTTGTATTGAAGTGAGAAAAAAAACAAAAACTTAGAAACTGTTGTTTTCCTTTACAGAACATAGTTCTTTTAAAATGAACGAAATTTTCTGGTTCATTATACTTGCAAGCATCTGAAAATATTATTTTCAGATTGAGCCTTAAAAGCTAAGTATAAGGAAGAACGTTAAACCGATTGGAAATCCAAAACTCTTTCTACAGTGGCGTCTCAAATTACGCCTATTCCAAAGCCTATAGGTCGTTTTTATAAACCTATCTATTTTTTCTTGATTAACTGAGGAGGCCAAGCATTTTATCTCGTCCGATTTATCATAACACCAGTCACAAAAGTACGCATTGCTTTTGTTTTTATTTTGTTCTTTCTCTTTTTTTTTAGGTTTTAGCCAAAGGACTGCAATTTATGTATCAACGTCAGAAATGAAAGTTGCCACATTGACTCGAAAGATACTCCACTAGACTCATTTGTTTTATTCTGATGTCGAATCTGTATTTGTTTTTCAACAATCACTGAATGCCAACTAAAAAGGCTCTAGCACTTATGTAAATATGATTTCTCAGCAAGAGAACGATATAAAAAGAAAAGCAATGCGTAATTTGTGACTGGTGTTATGATAAGTCGCATGAGATAAAATGCGTGGCCTCCTCACTTAATCAAGAAAAAACTAGATAGGTTTACAAAAACAACCTATAGGCATTGAAAAGGGCACAATTTGACACGTTACCATCAAAAGACTTTTGAGTTTCAAATCGTTTTAGCATCTTGTCTATGCTCAGCTTTAAACAGGCAATCTGAAAACAATTCTTCTAGAGACTGACGAAAACAAAGAAGCAGAAAATTGCACACGGTTCGAAAGAAATGTGTTCTGTAAAGAAAACCTGCACCTTCCATGATTTTATTTTTGTCTAACTTGAATCCAACGCCCATTAATTGTAAGCAGTAGTTTTTCGTAATCAGCAGCTAACACTCTATTGAACCATATGAACAAAAGACGAGGAAAAAAAATTATAATTCAAGTTCGAATTGTCTGTACTTTAACAATGGAACACAAGAAATAATTTTATTAAGAATAGTTTACTAATTCATTTACATGTAATCTAACATGAAAGAAAACGTCATGATGAAAACAACAACAAACAATGAATATTCACTATGATAGCTTTTCAAAGTACAAAAAAATGTCAAAACATGTATGACATGTATTTCTCTGTTTTAGATTTTTCGCATAAATAAATATTTAAATCCTTTTCAAATGTGTAAACCTACAAACAAAATTTACTATCTCGTTATTTGTCTTTTAAACTTTTTATCTATTTCTAATGTAACTGGTAATTTTGATCCGAATAGAGCTGATTATAATGCATATGGTGTCAAAATAGCTATGAATGAAGATTTTCTTGTATTAGCTGAAAATAAAAATGATCCTCCAAGATTTTTTATACAATTTGCACCCTACAATGGTATTCAAATGTCATTACAATGTTCTACTCATTATCCACAAATGACAGATTCTTTTATTTATACTGTTGTTGTTGGTAAAAAACAAAATAAAAATCGTAAGCATTTTTATTTCGCTGGAGAATTAACAAATAATAAAAGTGGCATATTTGTTGGTATTGCAATATATAATAATATAAATAATAATTCATCATTATTATGTAATACAAGTTTTACATATTATCTTCAATATTTTTCTAATTATCAACATCAAGAATATTATATATTAGGTGTAGAACCAAATGGTTATTTTACATATGGATTTTCAAATGAATTTATATTTATATTTGATTCACGAAATACTTCAGTTTTAGAAATATGGAATGGAAATTTAACATGGCCAGATACGACATTTATTCCTCATGCTGTTGATATTTCAGAACATTTTGGTGTTATATCAGGATTTATTTATAATGGTATACATTCTGCAGTAAATTATAGTCCAATGATTTATCTTATTAATTTTAATTCATCAAATAAACATCCAATTGTTGTTAATCAGTATAAACCTATTGCTAATCCTGGTACATGGCAAGATTTATTACCAAATGCTGATGCTAATTTATATTCAGCAAAATATGATATGTCTATTAGTATCAATGAATATGGAGATGTTTTAGTTGGTATGCAATTTATCAATAGAGTGTTTTTTTTCTATGTTCATAAAGCAAAACCAACAGAATTAAATTTCGTTAGTAGACATACAAATGGTAGAACACTGGGGAATGGAAAAAATATTGTCTGGTTAGAAAATGGTATAGCTGCTTTAATAGTCAATGTTTATACACTTGATTATGAATGGTTATCATCACAAATTCACATTTATGGTATTCAAGCAAATGGCTATAATTCAAATAGTACTCCTCTTTCAGTTTTTCCAAATAATCATCAAAAGTTACCACAAAGTCTTGATCCAGTATTCATAAATATCGTTTCATCACCATCCTCATTAGCATTACTTGATAATAAAGGGCACATAGTTATATTTCTTCCGACATTACCAGGCTATTATTTATCAATAAAAGATACAGGAACAATACCATTGATTACAACATCACATGCATGTATGCCAGGGACGTATAAAAATCAACCTGGAATTCATGATTGTACGCTTTGTCCAAGTGGAACAAAAAATCCAGGCATTTTTTCTACTTTTTGTGTTCCATGTTCATCAAATTCATTTTGTCCTCTTGCTTCTGTAAACGAAGTACCTCAATCAGCATTACAAACTATAACTCAAGCTCTACCATATCCGAAATCACCAGAAAGTGCTACATTTGATGAAATTCTCATTCGAAATATGTTCAGTATAGAATCAGGTCGCTGTACACTTATTTCACCTTTATTTTGGACATTGATTGTAGGCAGTTTAGCCATTATTGTCATGATTATAATGGGATTTTTAAAATATTTTTCAAAAAGTCCACTAGGACGAAGAATAAGAAAGTTAGTAAAATATATATTTCGACGTACAGATTTAATTGGTGAAGGTGAATTATGGGTTGGTGGTTTAGCATCATTATGTGTTATTGTATTAATTTGTTTTGCTTGTATATTTAGTACAAGTTTTATAAAACAATATCCTATAGAAACATCATCAAAATCATATTTTGATTGTGATTTATCAATAAAAAATGCAAAATTTGAAACAAGTGTACAATCATTAGCAATACCATTTACAAATGCTGATCAAAAAATGTTTGATTTATTAAATAATCAAGAATTTCTTTTAAATATTGATTTTGTAAATACAGTAATTAATTGTGATTCTGTATCAATTGAAGCTCTATTTGGTATAACATGGTCAACAATACGTTGGTTAAATTGTGATAATATTAATTATACATTATCATTGTCTATTCCTTTACCTTATCAACATATATCTGTACAAGTTTATATAGAAGATATTAAAACCATAGGAGCTTTACGTATTGGTCTTAATGGACATGAAGTTAAAAATGGAAGTTATTTATTAAAACAATTAAATTTTTATCAATCATTTTTTAAAAATGAATTTATATTAGCAAGACATTTACCTATTACTCTATCAGTAACAAAAGTTATTAATGAAACACTATCAATTAAAAGTGGTGAATCAAATTTTAGTGGTATTTATATTCCAACATTTACTGTTGATTATAATAGTTTATTTTTCACTGATAATCAATTTATTCGTTCAACATTAACATTAACAAAATTAATTATTTCAATTAGTGAAACTCCATATTATGTTAAAAATTTACAACAACCAATAGCAAAACCATCAGAGATTATTTTTCAAAATCTTTTATTTACTACTGTATGTTTAGAATTATTTGGTCTTATATTCTTATTATATAAACTTCTTTTGAAACCATTATTTTATTTTTTTCTGAAGAAAAAGTTTACGAATCGTAAGACAAATATTAACAATAAACGATCCAATGATTATTATAAATATAGACACAAAACAACTGGTAATATTTATATCGACATGAGTTATACGGCATATTTCTAAAAAATTGTTTTTTGTTATCAAAAAAATTGTTTGGTTTGTTTTAAGTTTTTTATTTATTTAAAAATCGACTATAGCTAATCCGATGTTTATCATATACAATGAAATATGGTTGTAAATTAACGAATTTGACTCATTAGTTTCTCTCAGAATTACCGTTAAGGGTCCCCCCCCCCCCCCCCCTCAGAAAAATCAATTTTGATCAAATTTATCGATTTTGTGATTTATAACTCATTAGATAGAGCAAAGTGTCTACTCTCGTATGCACTATAGTTGATTGATTTTATGATAAGCTTTAAGAATATTGCATAAGTTTTTCTGAACCTCCATATTGGAAAAAATAAGGCTTTTAAAAAGCTTATTTTCCGTTTTTCTCAAAATCAGTTTTTCGAGTATACCGTTTACGCGGGCACGCCTTTCTTAATAACGACTCAATAGAGAAGGGATAATTTTTTCTTATTGCATAGAGGGCAAGTGGGGCTAGATCCTAATAGAGCCCGATTTTTGAATTTCTCTTCTGCTGAAATAAAAAACTTGAATCTTTTGCTTTGTTTAGCGACTTTTTAGACTACGAATTCGAGAATTTTTCGAAAAACGTTTTTTAAAAAACAAACGAAGGGAAATTCAAAAATCGGACTCTATTAGGATCTAGCCTTAAGGATACTCTACAATTTAAAAACCACGCCGACATGTTTAGCTAATATCCTCATGTTGAAAACCTTGCCCGCGTACAGAGTATTTTTGACCAATGAATCGACTAGAACTTATGCATATCTTTAAGATTTGGGGGAGATATTTTAACCGGAATCTATCCTAGCCTAGACTAACATTCCCTGAATTTTTTCTTGAAATCGGATGAAAAATAACAAAGTTGATTTCTGAGGGGGGGGGGAGGCCTTAAACAAATTCTTTTTATGAAACAAGAAATTGAAATAGACTATCTAAATATAAATATTAACAAATTTTCAAAACTAATGAAACTAAGTGAATACACAAGAAGGTTTAGACTTTATTGTAACATTCAAATCAGGCAATGCATAAGACATGATGAGAGCATGTGGCATCAGAGTTGCTTGATTAATATCATTATTGAATATTGATATGAATGTTCGTCTCGAATACGCGACTGTTATACCCCAGACAATTACTCTCACGACACATGCTCTCTGGACAGTTGCTCTTCAGTAACACGTGTTCCCCATGAACACCGAAAAGAATTATTATTGATTACAAGTACAATAGATTAATTTATTGAAATAAGATGTAGAAATGAACAGTAGAATAATAAATTTGTTATTAATTATGCAAATAATAGAAATATTATACAATTAGAAATAAGCAACAACAACAACAGAAAAGTAGAACTAGTAGGTGGATTTTATTGAAGAGAAGACTAACACTACACTCTTCCGTATGAAATAGATTTTGCTATACAACTAAGTTTTATTTTCATACCAAGATAGAATCGAATTTGGATCTTATCCATGTAAAAAATAAGTCCTTAAGAACAAAAAAGGCCTCTCTATGCCGAAAGTAAACAATAAACGTTCAATCAGGCGAGTCTATCTGCCAGACGTGACGTTATTTCAATGTTAAAAAGATAGCCTTCCATCACGTCAAACAACAAGAACCGAAGACAGTTCCGAGAACTTTTTGATCATCCTATGTACAAGATTATAAAAAAACATCCAAAACAATGCAACCATCATTTATTAAAGTAATATAGTAATGGTACGAAACATAATCAATTTCAACAGAACTCAAACAATTAAAATTACACCACAAGACAATTCACTTATTGCATATGTGCTTATGAAAAACATCATGTAAATTGATTTATTAGCTAATCCAATCTGGACAATTTTCAGGGAATTTTTATATCAGTTTCAAATATCTAATAAATCAAAATAGTCATTATTGAAATTCTTATATTTCCTCAAAATAGATGAAAACATTAATTCTCAATAGAGTAATCTTTAGTAATTTATTTTTATTATAAATTCATTAATCTTAATCAATACTCATTCGCAAAAATCTTTTAAAACATATGTTATCAAACAATAATGATGATAATAAATTCTTTCCCAAGCACGAGTTATTTTTTAACAAGACTACATACGAACAAATACGATTGACTTACAAAAATATTCAAGTAGAGATTAGCAAATAGAATAATAAATTTAAAATGAAAAAAAAAACGAAAGAAAAAAGTAAGAAATCAAAAATGGGGCCAACAAGGAATAAGTTCAATACAGAAAACAAACAGAAAAAAACAAACAAAAATACGGGAAGCACACACAAGAAACACAAAGGACAAAAAAACAAACGCATAAGTTTTCATGAGATTGGTTTTTCTACATTTTCGATATTCTATATACAATAAACCTGAGTTTAATGACATATACATATAGAACTAACAAACAGTATTTGAACAAGTACATTGTTTAAAGAAGTCAAGTGACTGCCTATAAGAAAAACCACTCGCACATGTCATACGAAAAAATCGTCGTTTAGGTTCAACTGGTTTACAACATGATGTTTGTGTACCATTATTTAATGATGAACATAAACCTGAACATTTTGTCATACGTAAACGTCTATTGCTTGTACATTTTGTTAATGGATCAATATAAAATCCTTTGTCAATAATCAAGTCACATGAATTTATTAATGGTAATGCAATTGATGTTGTTATAGCTAAAGAAAATATTTATGTTTTTTCATTATTAAATTTTGAAAACAAAAGAAAAGTATATTTACATTGACTACAAGTTAATCCTGTATAACCTTCATGACATATACATTTATAATCTAAATCATGAAGACGACATTGACCATGTTGACATGCAGAAGATGTACATGATAATTGGTTGTGTTCATTGTTTTCACAACCAGGTAAAACTTTATGACGATAATCAACATTAGCAAAGTTTATTGGATCATCATTAATATATAGCGCATGAACACAACCTTGAAGATGCAAAAAAAACTCAATAGATTAATACAATTTTCGATTGAAAAATTTTCAGACAAGATGTTTGTTTATTTTTGACCTGATGGAAAGTATTGCCGATGAGTTAGGACTAGAATAGTGTCTCAATTTTGGTTCGAAAGTACTGAAAAAAATCTTTGGAGTAATTTGAATGGAACTTATAAACTGACGTTTCCAGTGTATATGTTTATTCGTTTTAGTGTGCTTGAATGCGTTTCAGACGAATGAAAAACTATAGTTCGCGACCAAAATTTGAATATAGACTTCGAAATGTTCCGTCTATTTTTTGTTCAAAAGTAGCGGGAAGCTTTTTGAAAGACTTCAAAATGGTAAGCCAACAAGTTTTTGTTTACTCTATAAGTCTCTTTTCGAATATACTAAAAATTGTCGGAATCGATCATTTTGTAGAGCAAACATTTCTCGATAAAATGTGACATCAAACTAAGGTGTAACTTTTACCGAGGTATTTTTCAAGGACTCCTTTTAAAGTAAAGCGATGGTTGATTTTTCAAACATAAGTATTGAGGTGCCTTTTTGAAAGACAATAAATACAGATTCTAATTTTTAGTTTCGAATCGCAATAATAAAAACACAAAACGTTTCCAATTCAAAGATTATTTCACTATTCTCGAATAAAATTTTTCAACTCATATTCGAAAAGAGCACAACATTCTGGACGTAACTCATCGAAAATACTTACTAGCAAGTCAAAAGTGAACAAACATTTTGTCTAAAAAAATTTCGATCACTGGTCATTCTGTTACTACTTACCTTGAAATGACGTTGCTTCTCGAATATGCCATAATTGTAAAGCTCTAGCAGTTAAATCATTTGGTAAGCCACCAATATATAATGCATCTATATCACTTGTATTCATATAAGCATTTTGACCACGATTATTTATATAACGTGTATAACCACGATCAACCGTTAAACTAAAATTTTGTCCCATACTAATTAATTGTAATTCATGAATTTTTCCTAAAAAGTAATCAAAATATTGAACGAATTATGAAACTCAACATAAAAGGAGTGTTAAATTATAGAACGAATAACGAAGGTGGCGTTTCCATCTTGACTTATTTCGTAGTTAAACTTGCGCAAATATAAGTTTAGAATGAATATGTATTATTATCATCATAATAAAATTTACTAAACTTTGAGTTATGTCGGTTTGTTATTAGACTAATTTTCAATCAACATTGATTACGATTTAATGAGTATGAAATATGTGATAAGATATGCACCATCTCAGAAAAAACGAATCTGTCAACAATTAAATCCCTTCGCTTAACTTTTCTTGTACGTCTCTGCCATGACAGATTTTGTTGATATATGATCATAGGATCTACTCGAAACTGGTACCTGATTGACAATTAAGGTAGATTGCCTCATTTTAATTATATCCGAATTGGGCTCATATCGATTTTAGTTGATTCCAAATTTGACCTTGATTAATCTTTCAATCAAGATCAATGAGAATTACAATGGAAATTGAGAATATATATAATACTTATATCTCGAAAGAATTCAAAAATTTATAAATGACTATCAAATTCGGTTGTAGAGTAAAAAATTTTTCACAAAGACAAAGTCTATCATGTTTTGATTGTTGCTTTTCTTTTTTCGTTGTTACTAGATATGTTATTTACTCTTTGAGCATATACTCGTTTCGTTTATCTTAATTGATTGGTAAAAAAGGGCAAAATTAGAAATGAGTCAAATTCCAAAAATATTTCAGTTGGAACCAGTTTGAGGGGGAAGTCGATCATACATCGTATGTCAATAACGTCTCATTATAATATAAGAAATACTTCCTTACTTCAATATCTTTCCTATCGTACACGCTAACTAACTACATACTATTCATAAGGATAGGTGCATGTCAGAACTTAGCCATTTAGTAATGACGGCTCGGAAAAATAAGTAAAAGAATGATGAAAATAATATGTCCCAAAATCGATAGAATAAAACAATCTCTCTGTGACTATTAACACCAACTACATCGTGTTTATACATTGTAATCCTGTAGGGATTATGTTAACAACTTTTGTTTTGTTATTATATGATTTTCTTACCATCATTAACAGTATCATAACTAAACATAACTGAACCAGGTGAATTTCCAACATCATAACTAACACGTATTCTACCCATAAAAATTTCCGCAACTAAATGTCCTAAATGACCAAAATAAACCAAAACTCCACTACTATGTATTGTACTAAATACAATTGTAATATTTGAACGTGGATATACATTTGGTTTAGGTAATTTCATATATGAATCATTTGTTATTGAATGAATACTTTTTAACATAGCACAACGATCGCCAATAAAACCTGAATAACAACGACAACGAAGAATATTTAATGATTCTTCATAACAAATGCCATTATTTGAACAAACATCAGATGAACATCGTGTTGGAGATACATTAGTAATATTTTTCATGAATGATGATTTTAATTGTGGTGCTATTTCACAATATTTTCCACTAAAACCAACATCACATTTACATGTATAACCATTAAGACCATCAACACATACACCAAATTGACATACATGATTTGAACAATCATTTAAATTTTCCGTACAATTTATTCCTCCCCAACCTAATGCACATTCACATCTAAAATAAATTTTTTTTTTCGTTAATATAATTTCTCAAAAATTGAAAATAATCTTACTTATAACCATTATTCGCTGTTAAACAACGTCCATTATTATTACATGGATTTAAATTTACATCACACCATTTTAATTTTGCTTCACAATATTTTCCTATAAAACAATTAAAATTCTTTTCTTTTTGTGTTCTATCATATTCGTTTTTTTCAACTTACCGGTAAATAATGGTAAACAATTACATGAATAATCATTTATTTTATCAATACATGTTCCATTATTTTGACATCGATGTAAAATACAATCATCAATATTATTTTCACATCGATATCCTGTAAAACCAGATAAACAATGACATTTAAAACGACCATCAGATAATGTTTGACATTGTCCTTGTTGTTTACATGGATTATCAAAACAAGCATCGATTACTTTTTCACAACGTTCACCATGATATCCTGGTAAACAGTTGCATAGAAATTTGTCAATTGATATTCCACGACATGAACCATTGTTAGAACAAGGATTTTCTTCATTTAAACATGGATCACATTTTTGTCGATAACGATTTGCTTCACTTTCATCTAATTATTTTTTGTTTTCAAAAGTTTTAAATCAATTAAGAAATATAGAAATACATACTATGGCATTGAAAAAAGAAGATAGGAGATGTGAGAAGTAATTTATTTGCCATTTGAGGTGGACCAATACATCGAGCAATACCTATTTAGTTCAAATATGTAGTAAGAGAAATTTTTGAAAAGAATAAATTATATAAGGGAGACTTTTCAGATGTTCCATGATAACTTTTTTGCCTACAGATACTAAATAATATTCTAGTAAAAGCGTGAAAAGGATTTTGAGAGTTAACGGAGCTATTGATTTTTTTTTAATATGCCTATTTTTACAAAGGTAACGATAGCATCCTTAGTTTTAGGCAAAATCATGGTTTTTGAATTTTGTCTTAGAGTTATCTCTATGTGTAAGTTTTATAGATAATAGATTGTATGAATAGGTCCAGAGTTTGTAGTCGTCGTCCTATCTCCGATATATGAAGTCTACAAATTCTGAACTTCTTCATAGAAGTTACTGTATATAAAACTTTTCAATAGAGACAATCTCAAGATAAAATTGAAGAATCGAATTTTCCCGAAAACTTGAGGTCCTATAGAAGTCTCAAGCAAATAGACATATTAAAAATTCAATAGCTCCATTAAATCTTAATATAGAAACTCAAATCTTTCTTTGGATTTTCACCAGAACGTTATGTAGTATCCATTGGTAAAAAAATCATCGTAATCGAAAAAGGAAATTCTATTATTAGCTGTATTTCTGAATCAATTCAGAGTGATAGTACCTATCAATCTATAATCATTGTTGATAATAAAATATTTAATTGTTTGAAAGATAAATGCTTTAATTATCCCTCAAATAACAATGAAATTTTTCTTCTTTAATTTCAAAATAATAAGGATAACTTATTCTCAGTCGTCAATAATACAAAACTTGAAAGTTAGACTTTGCACAGATGAAAAGGTCTTGCTATTTGCTAACAAATATTCGCATTGGTTTTTGCGAGTTCTACTCAAAAATATTCTTAATAAGGATGCTTCAAAGAATTCGAACATGAGCCTAGAGATTACACAATAGGTAAAAATTAGAAATCAGTTTCGAATGACTAGAAGCTCAGTCAAAAACAGATTTTTATATGAAAATTCTTACCAGGTTCAACATAATCTGTTTTAATCCATGAAGATAACCAACCCAGATGACAATCACAATAAAGTGGATTACCTCCGAGTGCACTACAAATAAATATCATTATAAACATTCTTATAGAAGTAAATTCTTCTACTTACACATGTGATAAAGCAGTAAGATCATTAAATGAACCGTCTGGTATTGTTGAAATTTCATTTCCATGTAATGATCTAAAAAATGAAATAAATTTTCTTTTGTTTAAAAACAAATTTCGAATTAAATACATACAAAATTCTTAAGTTTCTTAAACCTTTAAATGAGGCTGATTCTAAACAACGAATTTTATTATAAGATAATATTAATGTTTCAAGTCGTGTTAAATTTAAAAACATATTTGCAGATATTGAACGTAATTTATTATAACTTAAATCAATTCTTATCAGATAAATAAGACGATTTGTTAATTCCAACGGTATTTCCTGTATATCATTTGCATCTAAATATAATTCTTCTGTATCTAATGGCATTTGTTCATATGGAATATGTTTTAAATGTGCATGTGAACATCGTACAATATGATTATAACATGAACAATTTTGTGGACAATGACTTGGATATGATACATCACATGCATCGACTTCGGTAGCTTTAAATAAAATGAATAAGATACATTTTTTTTTTAAATTTTATTTTCAATTATAAATAAATTACTTACGATTACAAACAAAATCATCATCAGTTAAATTGACAATCTTAATATTAATAACAATTACTTTTTAAAAAAATAAAGTTTATTTTGAAAAAAAACTTACAGGAATATTTCGTAGTTTTGTTGGTGACATACATCTAGTGTATAAAAAAAAAAGTTAAAAATAAATAAAATTTTCCATTCACTTGAAAATATAATGTACTGCACTATTTTTTTTTAATAACTTTGGATTGAAATATGATATAGATCTGCGGTTTTCAAGAGAGAAGACCAAGGATAATCGAAATGAATTTAGTTAACATTTTAATAGAATTACTTTATAGAAAACATTCTTCTCTGTTGATCTACAACATAAGGTCGACATTTTCTAGCTTGTTTCATTCGAGAGTTATAAGACTTTTCTTGAGACCTCTGATCATCTGGGAAAAACAGCAAGGCAGGAGTAATTCATCATACTTCGTTACATGAAAGTTGATTGGGATTTTCCAGCAATATTGAGATAACAGAGTACGACTATTTCAAGTCTAAAAACAAATATTATCATTCGACTCAGCATAGCGAATTATCCCTACCTACATGTATTACTGGATGATTATAGGTCAGTTGGTCGTAATCGTGGGTCTCAAGAATAGTCTTATATTTTTTTAAAGAAATAAGCTAATGATCTCGGATCTTTTCTATTGAATGGCGAAAACTGCAAGTCTCTACGATGTTCCTATTAAAAGTTACTCAAACAACAGTGAAGCACATTATATTCTTTTGAAATGGATAGTAGAATTACTTACTTAGGATATCCAGTAACAATTTTACTTTGTTTTAACCAACTTTTTAACCATTTCATATGACAATTACATACAAATGGATTTGATAAAAGATCCCTATGAAAAAAAATAAATAAATATCAAAATAAATTTATCTGTATAACTATTCTTACAAAGCTGATAATGATCGTAATCGATCAAATGAACCTGGTGCAATACATTTAATACGATTATCATGTAATGATAATGTTTTAAGTGCATCCATATCAGAAAAAGTATCATTTTTAATATAAGTTAATTTATTTGTACGTAACATTAATGTTCGAATATTTTTTAAGCCATGAAATGTTTGTGGTGTTATTATATTCAAATTATTATCACTTAAAAATCTATTTTAATTAAATAAAATTCAAATGAATATTTAGAAAAATAGATATTAAATTACTTACAATTCATTGAGTGAATCAGCTCCATCAAATGCATCATCATCAATTTCTTCTAATCGATTATTTCGTAAATCACTGTTTAATTAAAAAAAAAAAAACAATTAGAAATTATTTATTTTGAATAAATTATTTCAATCACATACAGGGTACGAAGACTTCGTAAACGTCGAAAACTACCATCACGTGGAACTCGTTTGATTAAATTATCTTGTAAATGACTGAAACAAAAAAAAAAAACAAATCAAAAAAATTTCAATGAGAATATGAGCAAAACCAATAAAAACTGAGACAAAAACCATCGTCAATTTGACTTTCATTCTTTATAAGATTTTTTTTAAAACAATTTCTCTTCTCATGAATATCTGTATGCAAAAATATTGACTGTTTTAGTGTACATCTAATTAACCATTAATTAGAGAATAACTCAGTAACCTTAAGACAGAGAAGCTCAAGGATTTCAGAATAGACTTCAAACCACAAACTATATATGCCTAGGGGAAAAGAGCTGTTTTTTTTTTTTTAACTTTTTATCAATTCAATCAAAAAAATCACTTATTCAAAAAGAAAAATCTGACTTTAAACGTTTTGTGCTTTAATTTTAAGTATATTCTTAAAATTTAAGTCTGTAGGGTAGAACTCAATTGTTAAAACGAGACGATTCGTACAATTAGAAAATGAGGTCTACCATAATAATTACAAAAAAGTAATATTTTCGATTTTTCCGATTATATTTATTACAATGATTTTTCTTTATTATTTTAAATTCACCGAGAATGAAAAAAAAACTCAATTTCAGTTCTTTCCTTCTGAATATCTATAGTGAAATTTTTGAGCAAGATTCAAACTCTGAAAACAAGTACTTCAAAAGTCTGATAATAACCCAAAACCAGACTTTTTTTTTGTTTTCATTATCATCTAGAGATTCTCAATGAGAATTTATATCTTTTGGATTCGATTTTTGACCTTGTTATTTAATTCCAAGAGTTTTCGTTTCTATATTCATACTTGAGCAAGTTGCTAACAAAGAATAAACTTAAATGTTTTGATAAGCATAAGTGTGTTCAAGAAATCTTTTCATAGAGATTGTATAGTCTGAAGAGTCCTCTACAAAACACACTATTTAGTTTACAAAATACTGTTTAAACTTGCAGCACTTATAAATGAAAACATATCCAGTGACAAACTTTGTTCGTCATTGTGTTAATTTGATGACGTTAGTTTTTCAATAATAACTGGGTCGAACAAAGGTCTATAGGACTGAGAGTAACTTTACATGAAACTGTTACAGAAAAATTCAACAAAAAGAAATTCTGAAGTTCAGAGATAAATTTATTTTTATTAAACATTATTTCATTATTTGAACGAAAACTAAATCTATCTTTTATTTAACATGAAGTCCAAACGAGCAACATCCTTCTGAAGATTTTCACCAGGAGTTTTAAATCAACACTCCGGAAGATACAAGAGCTCTCCGATAAACATGTTATATTATCAGTTCAAGTTTGTTTACTGCTAATATTTATTTTAATATATTTAAATACTTACAGTGCAGTAGTAAACGGTGGTATATCAGTAGGTATTTCTTGTAATTGTAATCCACGACAAATAACAGTTGTACCATCACATGTACATCCTTTTGGACATTGTACTTCACATTGAGTACTATAAGCTGTTTGTTCATATTCCATTCGATCTAATTAGAATAGAAGAAAAAAAATTCTTTTGTATTTTTTCTTTTAGAAAAAAAGATAATGGAAAACAAACTTCGACATCGAAATCTTCGATCATTTAAAATACCAAATTTTCGTTTTGCCATACGTCTTGGTCCAGCACAACGAACACCACTTGTTTCAATCTTTTTTTCACGTAAATATGCATTTAACCAGCGAAGATGACAATCACATATAAATGGATTACGAGCTAAATGTCTGTAAAATTCATTTTTTTTTTTAATAATCATTTAATTAAAACAACAACAGCAAAAAGAAAAGAAAACTTACAATGTTTGGATACTTTTCAATGGTGTAAATGTATTATTAACTAATGTTTTAAGTTTATTATCATATAATGATAATAAACTTAATTTTTCTAATCCACGAAATGTATCACCACGTACACATACTAATTTATTTGCATTAAGTAATCTGTGTGTGAAAAAAAGATATACAAAATAAAACTTCAATAAATTTAATCTTTAAAATATTTGCTAATAAATTAATATTTGAAAACAAAAAAAAAAAAGGCAGAATAAAAAACACTAAAAAACAACAAGCAATTATAGCTAAGCTTACTCACAAGAGTTGTAGATGCGTGAATTCATGATGAAATACACCAAATGGTAAATGCACAAGCTGATTGTTTGATAGTATACTATATCCATAACCAAATAATAAGAATAGAATAGTTCATGCATGTGATTATGTGAAACAAAAAAAATATTCAACCGTTTTCTAGCATGGGAGATTTTTTTTTTCATGCTGTATTAATTTACCATCACCAACTATCATTACAAAAGTGTATCTATGTGATAGTGAATATTAAACATGCCTTCCCTCATATCAATAAAATTCTTTTTTTCTTCCTGACACTCACAAAAGCTGTAGAGAGTTCAATTCACTGAACAAATCAGATGGTAACATCTTGAGATTATTTCGATAGAGTATACTAAACAATACTTTTCTTGTTCATATGTTTATAAGAAAAATAAAATATCAAAACCAAAAAGGTATATATATATAAATACGTACAGTGAATTAAGTGATTTTAAACCAGCGAATGAATCAGGATAAATAGTTGATATTAAATTGTTACTTATATCTCTAAAATTCGAAAAAAATATCTTTAAAAAATAAAAGTCACCAATTAAAAACTTTCTACTTACAAACGTCGAAGCTTTTTTAAATGAAAAAATATTTTTGGTGGGATTTCTATAATACGATTTTTCTCCAAACGTCTAAAATAAAATTGAAAATAAAAAAATAAAATGAAATAAAATTTATTACAATTCAATTGTTGTATCTGGAATATTTCTTGGAATTTCTATTAGATCTTTATCTTTACAATCGACAACACCATTAAAACATGTACATGGATATGGACATACAGGTACATTGCATGTATAATCGATATCATCAATATCTATTGAAAAGGAAAAAAAAATCTATTATTCATTTATAATGAATCAATTAAAACTTTACCCATGCTATTGCATTGTTTTTCATCATCGATTAATGATGTTATATCTTTATAACTAAATGTATCAGCATCTTGACATCGTGCATTAAGACCAAGAAATGGATGTAATTTAAGATACTTAGCAAGCCATAGTAGACGACAATCACATACGAATTGATTATCATGAAGTCGTCTTTAAGAAGAAGAAAAAAAAATAGACAAAAAATTAATAAAAATAAAAAAAATTTCATTAGAATAATTCATTCATGTAGAACAATCATTGTGTGTGCATGCCATATAAATGTGTGAGTTATATGGTTATAAAATCTATACTTACAAAACCCTTAAATCGATCAGTCGTGCAAATGGTAAGACTGGCAGCGTTGTTAGATTGTTGAAATTCAATGTGCTAGAAGAAAAAATCAATAACACACAACACCAATAAACCCAAATGTTATCATGCAAATACTATTTGATGAATGATTCTAATTAAAATAAATCTATTCTACTATAATTAATATATAACTACAGTGATGAAACATGACAAGACAATAAATATATACAATATTACTCACACAATCTCCAAACGATTGAGTCCATTAATAGCTTCTGCTTCAATACAAGTGATCTCATTGTGATCCAATTGTCTATATGATGCAATGATAATAATATCAATATTATTGTTTAAGTGATGATTTATATACACTCACAAATTATCAATAGCTTGAAGACCCTGTAAGGTTCCTTTTTTAATGGCTCGTAATTGATTAGAGCTAAGATCCCTATTAGAATAGCAAAAAAAAACAACAAATATCAATATTTTTTTTCTGTTTGGTCCTTGAATCAAATGCAATAGCATACAATCGTTGAAGTTGTTTAAGCGACGCAAATGTGCCATCGGCGAGGTGATTTAGCTTATTACCGTTGAGACGTCTAGAAAAACATAAATGTATTGTAACTCATATATCAATCAAGCGTTCCATTTATCTGTACTGTCATCATCATCATCATCATCATCATCATCATCGTCTCTTTTCTACATGTTAGTCAGTCATTCATTCATATTACATAAATATACTCAACTACATTGATTGTCTATCATTAGACGGCTGCAGGCAGAGAACAACAAGAAGGCAGGTTACATTATTTGTTCATTTCAATTAGTCTCTATCAATATGTCTGTTCAATGAAGCGAACGACATGTAGTCAGACAAATGATATGGCCGGTCATAAAAAAAAACCTATGAGAGGGGAGGACAGACAGAGATTGAGCTCTACCTCTCACTCTCTACATATATAGTTATCGACGAGTCGCAAATAACTGTAATTTTAAGAGTAGCACAGCGGTAATCGCAGACATATGTCGATTGTTGAATATTACAAGCTCATTCTCAATTGAATGATGTGATGATGAATGACGACATATTGAGGCAAAGAATAAAAGCACTGTTTGAGAAAGTTGCATGATTTCAATTAGTTTTTTTTTTTCTTTTTTGTGTTTATAATAATAATAATAATAAATCAAATTGAATTTCACTTACAATTTTTCTAATGATATTAAATCTCGAAATGCATCAGTATCAATTGTATGTATTTGATTGTCTTGAAGATTTCTATAGAAAAATAAAATCATAAAAATAAAATTTACACCAAACTGTCAAATTCTCAAGCTTTTTCAAAACTTCAAGATAATACATCTATGTGACCTCGATTTTTTGTTATCATCACGTCTTCTCTTTTGTTTCTTCTTCTTCTTCTTTTTCTTCTTCTCTTTAAGTATATGTATGTCTTGAACTTGAACTTGTTCTAATCTCTTTCTATTATTATTATTATTTAAGATATGAACATCCGATTTATATTAGTCTTGATTTTTCTATTGTATACATATTTAAAAAAAAGAAAAGAACAAGGTAACCTATTGAGAAGGTCATTAAAGTTGATGTTCTCGTATTTGTATTCTTTCTACTTGAAATACACAAAAGTTTATTGAATGTATAATTTTCAAATTGGTATACATCACATGAAATCTTCGAAAGTTTCATCAGCTTGTGTGCATGTGTGCTTATTCTCTTATTCTCTTGCTTGTGTGCCTACTTGACCTTGTCAGTGTGCGAACGTCGGAAGAGGAAGAAGAGCTCTTAACCTTGTCAATAAAAGAATGGTTTGTTCAAAGATGTTCATTTGATAATAATACAAGAAAAAACGAACTTAAAAAATATGTATGCCTTGTTTATTATTATTAAATCATATTACTTACAAAATGCGTAGTTGACGAAATGCTTTAAAATCATCTTTTCGGATTATTGATAAATTATTGAATTGAAGTTCTCTATAAATATATAAAACAGATTTATATTAAATTATCTATAATAGACCATATTCAAATGAGAAACTTTTCAAGTTCTCTTAAGAAGTGAACTTTATCATAAATCTCTTTATTACACTTCTTGTGTAAGATGTACAAATCGTTTTTCTTTTTCTCTTTTCCTTGCTTGATTCTTTATCATAGATAATTTAACCAATATTACACTTTATTGATTATTAGGAAAAAAATTATCACATACACACATTACTTTTTTTACTCCCCATATTTCCGGCTTGTCAATTATGCAAATGTACATATCAAGAAAAAAAAAAATTGCGTAACATATTAATTGAGCATCTACTATAGTAAAGAAATAAAAAGGCTAATTTAACGGTCATTCGAAATATATTTGTGCTTATATATACATTGATTAGTATTTGGTTCATTCATGCTTTTATTAGTGAGATATGTAGGTGACAATGAATTAGGCGAGGTCATCCAAACAAAATATATACAAAGAAAAAGTAAAAGCGAATAAATCATAATGATAATCGAGCAGAACACAAATTGCTCTTAAGGCTGCTCGAATAACATGAACTTCTCATTTGCCGTATCCTTCTTATGTGTTTCTTTCGGATAAGCAATCGATAATTGAAGTAAACTGATTTCTATCATTACTAGATGGGTGTGGTTGAACGAAACATAATTGTCCTTGATATTTCATCGTCTAAATACTTTCTTTTGAATTAAGATGATGGAGAGAGTGAAAAGAAAAATGTTGTGTATTTTTTGTTATCATCGATTACTCGCTGAGCTCTTTAGTGTGATGCAATAATTCATCTCATCATACTCGGAGTTGACAGGCCACCTTTGGAGTTCGAGATAGTAGTAAAATGGGCGGATAATGTTACTAGTCATAGTTTTTTCACATAAGTATGACAAGCTTTCTTTTACTCTTTTTACTTTCTATTGTATATAACCAATTCTTTATATATGTCCATGGTTGGTGTGAACCATTTATTCATTGTAATGAAGGCAAAAACGAAGTAAAAAATGTTGATTCTATCGTTTTTGTATATATATATATACATATATATATATACAAAGTACAGGTGAAAAAAGAAACCTTTCAATCATTCTACTTTCGTTGAACACATTTTATGAACCATAATCATTGTTCTATCGAACAAATATTCTTCGAATGAAACCATAAAGAGTAAAAAGCAACGGCACGAAGTTTTCTTTTTTTATATAGAACAACAGAGGTATTAGGTCAATATAAGAAACAATATTCATGTCTTGAAATATGAAAGAAATCATGCGATTTTTACTTCTTCTTCTTCTTATTTAAACATCTTGTCCGAATTTTAAGGTGCCTGATCCCTAGTTGCATCACAATTGATGAGCATTGACCTTTTTTTTTCGTATTGTATCAAGAAGTATGCAGACAAGAAAATGATTCACATGAAGAAAAAAAAAGCAAATGATAAAACAGCACATATATCTATAGAGATGAGTAAAGCTTGTGCGTCAATCTCGTCTACGATCAGCTAAGGTGTGCGTGCATACTTCATTTTATTCTTTCTCAACACTCATACGTACATATATATATATATATATATATATAAATACACACATATAGAAACGATTGTTGTTCTATATGATCAACAAAAACACTTGGCATTCGCTTTAGCTTTGTTTACGAATAGCATGTGTATGGCGTAATCTCTTTTATGCATCGTTCATTGATCTATCTCAACCTGACGAGAACGCTAAAGAGCGTGCATATGCGTCAACGGCAACGTTAGCAAGAAGTACACATATATACATTTATATATATATATCTTTATACTTTGATTATTTGTTCCGTTCCGTGCTTAAAGATTGATATAAATACTTGCCGATTATGATTAAGGTTGCATAAAAGATTCTATGACGCAACATATACAGAAAATGAACGGCATTACAAAGGGAAATAAGAAGAAAAGAGCGGAAAGACCAATACATAGGGAAGGTCTATCTGTCTGTTTATGTTTTTAGATGAAGACATCTTTATCACTCTTAGATACATATAAGATCATATATACCTATTCTATAAGATTTAAATCTATCGAGACTAACTGAAAATGACAGGCGACTGATCATGAGACAACAATTGTATTACATCAACATAAAGTTGTCAGTGGAGCGAAACGACGCGGCGTTGTTGTCTCTATCACGAAGGACATATAAATCCATCTGTATACATCCAATACAGATTAAAGGAAACAAAAAAAAAAAGAAAGAAAAGGAAATGTGAGAAGCTTTTCGACTTCTCTTTTATACCTTCATTTTCTAGTTTACATCATACAGGCATATACCTGAAAAATTCAATCACATACGCGCAAAAATTCAATTGTGCGTAATGACATCATCAGCAATGAATTGTGCAGTTGCACTGCTCTCTTACAAGTTAATCTTATTGAATCGTCAGGCAAACACGTTTTAACAAAGAAGATTAGAACGTTCTCTTTTTATTCATTGATTATATATGTGTATATCAAGGTCAAATAAGCAATTTTATCTTCTTTTTTTTCTTCATTGTTTAATAGAATACTTACAGTTTAAAAACATTTCGTGGTATACCAGATGGTATTGTTTGTAGTCCTCGATTGCTACAATCAACATTTGGTCCATGACATGAGCAAACAGATGGACATGCACTAATAATATGTGACTGAAATAATAAAAGAACGTAAATACTACACGTTAATAAAAGTAGGGTCATCTTGTTGATGCGACGATTCGCCTTTGTCGGTTTGCTTTAAACATTAGTCGTAATAATAAAGTAGATTTTGGTTATATGTTTGTAAGTATGGGTTCTGGTAACGAGTATCAGCAGGCAAGCAGATACATAAGAGAAGAAATGCGATAATTGTTATATGATGAAAAGAAGGAGTTGTAGCAGTAACAGCAGCAGTAAGAGAAGTAGCAGTGACGATGCTCTTTACTCATACACGTTACTCGCATATACACAAATACACTGGACATTCATCAGTTCTGTTCTCGTTTGTTCGTTCGTTCGTTTTGCGCTCTCTTTCTATAAGAACAAAAAAAAAAAGCTGAGAAGAAATCGAGAGCAAGAGAGAGAAGAGAAAAAGAGTACAACCAGAGGCGAAAAGAGAGAGAGAGAGAGGGAGAGAGGAGGAGAATTGATTGTGATACTGATTACTAATAATCGTCGATGAGAAAAGAAGAATCGAACAACTATATCACAGACATTGCAGACGCAACATTACTACCGATCAAATAGATAGATTTCAAATTCAGCGTGACTAACAATGGGAACGACTGCGGCATTAAGATAACCTCGAAATCAGATCTCATATGACCGTTCAAAGGCTTCAGGATCGCTGACAAGTGTTGTCGTGATGTGGCAGTGAATTGAAAGAAAAGGCAGCAAAAAGAGAAACAGGCTAATATATTTATTGAGGCGACAATCGTCGCCTCGAGGCTAGTATACAAAATGGCGGACTTTCTCTTTCTATTGTCTACTCTGATATATTTTACAAACAGAAAAACGAAGCGGGCAACATCATCGTCATTTGTCGTACTACTAATACTACTCATCCATACCACTTGATAATCAAATTTAAGAGAATAAAAAGAGGAAGAATAGGGGTAGAGTGAACAATAATGATGTGAATGAAGAAAATCGTTACGTAGATCGTTTGCTTTTTAGGCAATTAGACATGGTATATATACATACTCATATACACATAGCTTTCTTCTTTTTCTAAGTGCAATTGGGCTATCATCATGTACTAATGCTTATACGCTATTTGCCTCGTTCATCAACTTCTTGTATAGTTTAGACATGATGCTTTTTTCATAAGAAGTATTTGCTAATCGTTCATTTTCTAATCAAATACTTCGATGTGATATGTTCAAACAAGAAATTATTCTCACGATCACTTGTCTAAATGTATTGTATCTTAAACACAATAGAAGAGTGATAGACGAAATAAAAAAAAAAAAAAGAAAAAAAAAGAAAGAAGCCAAGACATGAACATAACTTTTTTTTCAAGGCACTTCGTTTCATATATATGAATTAGAGGATATTTACTAAAAGCATCATATGTCTATTCTAATTATGATAGACGATTATGATCAAATAGAAAATCTCAAGTCAGATAAGTGTAGTCTACATCGAACTGCAGACTTCGTAAACAACAGCCTTGTGAATATTAGAAGTAATTAAATCAATCGATTCAATAAATTTCCTAATATAATGTATACAATAAAACTCTTTTTCTTTTCAGCATTAACTATCTTTTTTCTTGTTGTCCTTTTCGAAATTTATTATCGATTAGCAAGCAAATAAACATTTATTTTCTAGAATATGTCTCAAGGAAATTTATCTTTAGATAATGACATATCATCACTTATGGAAAAAAAGCCCATCATAAATATACATAAGAAAAATTTATCAGCAACAGTTGCTTGACAATTTCGAGCAATCTGAGATAGTGGACTTGTAGACTTAATGTTTTGTAGCATCGCAGGACATTTGTTACCCGTAATAATATTAGTATTGTTGATATGATGACGACTTTGAGTTTGATATATATGTATATGTATATCTAAAGAATGTTGGAAGGACGTATGAAGGAGGATTTGATTAGGTTTCATATTTACTTTTCAATAATCTAGGTAGAATATGGCTTCAAATCAAAATAGAAAAGAATATTTTTAATCAAATATGAACGTGTGGTGAACATATTGACACATCATATTGAAGTTATGTAGATCATGTTGTAATCGAATATGAATTAATATTCATATTAGCTTTTTTTTTATTTTTTTCGTTCATATTAAGACCTTGGAAATTGATCTTCACAGAGTTTTAGGATTGTTTTATCAATATATTTATAGGACATACCAAAATTAATGAAGTTTTCAAAAAAACAATATACAAACAAGTTATATTCTAGATTTTCTTTCATGAAATGTTCAAAGTAGTTGTTCTGATTATTTACATACAACTGCATTCATTCTAGGCACTTATCGAAAGTTTTTTTTTTTTTATAGTCATCTTTGTTGATTTAATTCATGATCTTGGTTACGGCACGGTATAACGATTGTGAGTTGCTTTGATCAAATTAAATAACCAAAAATCATACTATGCGAAGTGTGAAGAATTCAGTGATTGTCAACTAATTTTGATATTTTCAGATTCGAGATGATTTGAAACATCTTTATGTACATATGGTTTTGTTTTGTAGTGATGAAGTTTTTAGGGCGGTAGATGTACGATCTGTTAGTCTTTTCTTTCGGATTTTCTCAATTATAGGTTTCAGGCAATTATCAATGTAATAGTAATCATCAGAGATTAATGGGACTGTCATGTGCTCTTGCTCACATTTACACGATTCTCATGTCTCTTTATTTTTTTGTTCGGTGAATATGTTTCGAATGCGTGAAATCATTTCTTTACTGTTCTTTCAGTACAAATAGAATCGTGAGATGGTGCAACATGTGCTTCATGAAGATTTGCGTCATGTTTCATAGACATACGCTAGATTGCCGAACAGCTCCGTCTATCTCTGGTGGCGGTCTCTTCTTGATCAACATGATAATTTAAGAAAGGATCAGTCATTTTGAAAAATATGCGAAATAAAGTTTTTGGAGCAAGTAGAGTGCGCCCAACTACAATGGGTGAATTTTCTCTAGTGGGAGTCCAGGCAGTATCCGATGATTTTTGGCCAATATGTTATTATTATAAATCCATGACTAGTTTACTTGTCACTGCTGGAATTTCATCGAATCTTCTTGACAAACGCGAATCCATTCGGTTCATTAAGTATCAGTCAGTAAGTTGAGCACCCAGTGAGCAATCATTTTTTTTTTGTCAAGTGTAGAAGGTCACAAATAATTTGTTCAATGATACGACGATTCATATCAGTCTTTATTTGCCTTTCATCAAAAAGGCAGTGCACTTCTTGAATATTTTCAGACTTTATTTCAGTAACAGGTCGGTCAAGTCATAATCATTCTTCAGTTTCTTCTGGAAACTTTTTCAATCATTTGACAACTGTATTATAATATGGAGTATTTTTTTTTACATTTTTCAATTTATAACAATTTAAATTGTAAACTAGTGACCTCTAATGATACTAAAAGCTTGTGTGGCCCATAATACAAACCAGTAAATAATATCGTAAATTACCAAACAATTTCCTTTTCATCGTCATTATCATGAGAAATTTCATTCCGACCTACTCTTACGTAATTAATTTTTCGCTTTATATATAGGATATTCTATTCGTGACTAATTCATATTTTTTCAGATCGATTTACATGGCTTCAAAACGTTTACAACGTCTTGAACAAGTCGAAAAAGGTGTGCTAAATCTTTCTTTAGGCGGTCAAGCTAGTGATGATTCTGATGATGATTCAAAACGTAAAAGTAATAAGAAAAAACATGCTCCACCAAAAACCAAACAACCAACTAAAGTAGCACCATCAAAAACTGCAGTGTCCGATGATGACGATAATAATAATGACAATGAAACAACAGCAAAACATACTGTTCAACACAATGATTCAGATGATGATAAAAAACGTAATAAAAATAAAAATAAAAAAAATAAAGGAAAAAAACATAATGATGACGACGATGGTGATGATGAACAAATATCTATAAAACAAAGTACCATTCGTATTTTGTTTATTTCAATAGACTAATTTTTTTTTCTTTTTTAGGTTCTCTTCCAGCTGATTCAGATGAGGATGATCATCGAAACAAGAAAAAAAATAAAGGAAAAAAAGGACAAAATAAAACTAATGATAATGAAACAACTGAAACAACACACAATGAAAATAAATCTGAGAGAAAAAAGCCCAAAGGTGGTAAAAAAAATTTACCATCCGATAATGAAGATAATAATGAAGTCAATGATGTTCAACCAACAGTTGTTCAAAAAGAAGCTCAACAAGGTAGAATAATTTCTTTGCAATTTTCTCATATTGTAATAGCTACAAAAAAAAATGTAACTCATACAATTTCCTATTTTCCATATAAAAGGTCTCTGAAAAATTAACTTTCTGAACGTGATCAAGAATGTTTTGTTGATAAGTTTATCTGATAGAGCAAACATTTACGAACAAAATGAAAACGTTCTTGAGCTCTTCATGACTTATCTTCATTGAGCTGCACTCATTCTACAAATGATCCCAAAGCGTGAAATATGATACAAGTCATGAAGTGCTTGGAAACGTCTTTTTTAGGATCTTGATTTTCTACGAGATTCTCTTCTGAAAATTTTTAATGGAAATTTAAAAAAAAAAGCTCTTTTGATAGAAAAATATTGTAATTCCAATTTGTCATAACTGTTGCCATTGAGATAAAAATTAACAAAAATATACCGTTTTTTAAAACTTGTCATCTCTATTTTAGCTGATGTGGAGTTTTCCGATGAATCAGATGATAATGCACAATCTAAGAAAAAAAATGCTAAAAAACAAAAACAACAAAAAAAAGGTGGTAAAAAACAAACAACTAAAGGTAAATCATTTATTTATCTATAGAATATTTTTAAAAGAATTTGAATTTATATTTTCAAGTTGAATCAGAAAATGAAGAACAACATAAATCTAAAGATGAAGATGAATCTATTATTAATAATCAAACAATTGACGTAAAAGAAGTTTCACAAGGTTTATAATTAAATTTTTTTTTTTTTGGTTTTTAATAATACTTTTTTCAATTATCTTTCCTTTTTTTATTTTTAGCACCTCTTGAATTTAGTGATTCAGATGAAGATGATAAAAAAAAACAAAAATCATCAAAGAAAAAACAAAAAAATGTTACATCTGAACAACCACAATCAACTCCCGCTAAACAAGAACCTCCACCAACTGTTGTCGAGCCAGAACCTGTACCAACTGTTGTCGAGCCAGAACCTGTACCAACTATTGTTCCACAAGAACCAGCACCATCCGGTAAGTTTTAATCTATTATAGTTCTTTAAATATGATGAGCTTCATGTAATATTATCTAACAAATGAAGTCCGTCAATTGATAAATTTAGACCTCTTAGCTTATTGCTATGGCGATGCTGGGCTTTTACAATATGTTTTAAGCCGCCCCCCTAAAAAAAAAGTCAATTTTCATCAAAAATTCCGAAATTGAGATAAATACATGGGGAGATAGCCCGTCATCTGCTCTTTCATAAACGATAATTTGTTTTTCTCGTTACTTCACTTTTTCCAAAAAATTTTCAAGATTTCCGTCAACCCCTATTCGAAAAACCAGCTGTTTTTTGAAAATCAAAAAATGTTTTTCGTTTTTTCTCAGTTTCCGCTTTTTCAAAAGCGCATCCCAAATTTATCCTTTCTGGTTCGTTCAATATATTAATATTTGTTTTTTGTGTTTGAAAGAGCATCTCAAGGCGCAGGGCATGATGTGGTCCTTTTTTTAAATTAGGCCTTTGTTTGATCAATATACAGCCAGTTATATGATTTTGTCACCATTTTTTGACACTTTTTTGAGTCATTGAACGTGTGATCGATTTTTTGCGCTTAAAAATGGACTATTTCAAAAAAAGGGCCACGTCATGCCCTGCGTCTTGGGATGCTCTTTCCCACAAAAAAGAAATATTAATACGTTGACCGAATCAGGACCAAGAAATTTGGGATGCCAAATGAGTCATTTTTTACCCTTGTTTAGTTCATATCTTCTTGAAACCTGAAAATTTTACGGTAGTCTCCCCTTTTTAGCTCCAACATATTCTGAAAGTTTCATCTAATTTGAATGTTCCTGGGCTGAGATCGATTTTTTTTGGGGGGGGGGGGGGGGGGTAAAAGAATATTTTCCGGCCGAAAAACCCCAAAGGGGTAAAAATTTAGAAGNNNTTGTCTACTGGAACTTTATAATGAAGATATGCAACATATAAGTTATAAAAACTATTTGATTTGTATCTCTTGTTTTTTGACGATACTTATATATTTTAATGATTGCATTAACAGTCATTGTTAGCTTAAATTCAGTCTCAATGAAATGAAATTCCACGATACGATGTGCAAGTTTTTTTTGTGGCTTAACTCAATTGAAAGTTTTTATTTGAACATTCAGCCTTCTCATTAGCAAATAGTTCTCTAAAATTTAAAAAGAATTGACAAATAAAGAAGTGCAGCTGGTGAATAAAATTTTAATGACACTCAAAGAAGACATCTTTCAGAACAGGGTGAAGTGTGAAAGAATACTTTAGAACACAGATATTGCTCGACAATTGACTTCTCTATTAAATATTAATGTATTATAAATATCTTTTTACCCAGAGAAATATGACAAAAAAAGCAAACAACATATTGATATCACACGCATAGATGAGATAAAACATAAAATTTTTTACAACACAAACATCGATTATCCATAAAATGACGTAATAAAATGGCTCGATAGTGTACAAGTCTTTTAGCTAAGATCATCCTAACTTCAGAAATTATACTGTCATAACTAACCATAATGTATATAAGAAAACGAATAGAATAAATAAGAGATGTACAAAAACAACAAAATCAAATCAAATCAAAGTAACAAAAAAGAAAACATAAAAAAACGCATAAAATATTTCATAACAATAAAACCTCCAATATTACTAGAGCTGATTGTACATGTACATATAAGTTGATTTTATCCACCTATTCACCTAATTTGTCCTAAAATGACAAACAAAACTATAGTTCAGACAAAGTTACTACTTTAGTAGAAGATTAAACCTATACAAGTTTGGCTAGTTTTCAACAGTATTGTGACCATTAAAAATATGATTTTTTTATCTTTATGAACCACATCGATTAAATATTTTGGAGTGAAATTTATGTATGGCAGAGAGTCACTAGAAACATTACGTTCTTTTAAACACTAGAGTAGTTCCTGTCAGTTATGTATTGCACAAAGAGAGCCGCCGAAGTTCAAATTGATACATGAATAAACAGTTTTTCATGTATAATGAAATAACCCGAGATATTTTTACAAAATTCATATTTTTTTAAGTATATCAATGAATTGTAAGGATTTTATAGTATTTCTTGGTTAGAGTGATGTGCTAGTCGGTATACACATATGTTTAAAGTATATCTTATTGCAGTCGCGTTATAAAAGAGATGGTTTTAGGATACTCTTGCACTCAGCAACTGTTAATAGAAAAAATTACTTGAGAAATATAAGGCGAGATTGATATATTTCCTTATTTCATAACTAGCCACGCTTTAACACGCAATGTTTTTAGCATCCTAGTTAATTGCAATGGATGTTCACGCATAGTTATACAAAAATGGAATAAGAGAAAATTTGTTTTAATATCAATACAATGAGGAGCAAAGTTATCTAATATTATTTCCTCAAAAATATTTTTTCATTAAATTTTATAAATATTCTCATAAAGCAAATTTTCTATTTTGATATATACCTTTAAAAACATTGTTGCTTCAAGATTTTTCACTGACAGTCGTGATCTTTCTCGACGCGCAATATAAGATGCTGTTGAGAATGCTGCTTCAGCAGCGAAAAAAAAATGAAACTTTATGAATTTTTTTCCTTTTTAACTTTTGACTTATGTTTGATCTCTGTTAGAATATTAGTATTAACCCATACAATAAAGAATGTCCTTCACTGGTCAGAATCTTTTACAATACTTTTCAACTATTTTTTCGTGTCAATATTCTTTTTTTCGATGTTTTTCCTGTTCGACATTTTTTCCTTCTCTTTTTCGACATTTTTCTTCTTCGATATTTTTCCCTTTCGACATTTTTACGGTCAACCATTGCAGGGTGTGGGTGTGGGTGCGGGTGCGGGTGCGGGTGTCGGTATATTGTTTACCCACACCCACACCCACACCCTAACGTTATATAATATCGACTGCTTAATGAGTAGCTCTTCCTTTTCCAAATTAAGAAAGGGATGTAAGGATCACCTATAAAAGTATTGCTGAGAAAAATAATTTGATATTTATTCATTATTAGTATAGAAAAAGCTAGTGAACTCTACATCTTCTAAAAACTTATGCTTTTTCTATAGTAGATAGTGATGAACTATATGTCTCTCTGAACGTAATGATAATTTGAATTGAAAAAAAAATTCACGGATTTCGTGTTTGAAGTTTATTGTATACTTTTAAATTAAATTGATAAAATTGGAAATGTCACCCGTTTGATTCAATCGCTAGTAACTTGAATTTCAATTTAGCTCAAGAGTTTTAATTTTCGAAATTTAAGTTTAATTTTGCCTGGCACATATACAGATATATTTGCCAAAAGAATTTCTTTGAACTTGTCAAAATATGGACAAGATTTTCAATATAATTTGATACATGAAGTATTATTTTAATTTTGTAAGAAATGTTTATTATAAATAATAGTTTAATCTAGTTTTCTGCTCGAATAATATAGATTTGTTATTATCTTCAATGATTACTGAAATATCTCGTAAGAAAACTTTCTTTGTCATTTCATGCGAATTTTTATTTAGATAGTAAAATATTTTAACAGATTCAATCCAAATCAATAATTATTTTCACGAGAAAATTTAATCATTTATCATCCATATCTATCGTCCATTTTCTAATTAATGTTGAGGGTGGATGTAAATTTGGGTGTGTATTTTCTCATCATCATCAAAACACCTACCCCACATTCTCTCGTTATTATATTTCATTCATAGTGACACTGATTATTGCCTTAGAGAAAGTCTTGCACATTCTAAAGAGGAACCAGTCAATGCGAGTGATTCGTGGGAACTCAAGATATTACGAGCTAAAGAACATATCTACTCGAATTATTTCAAGTTATTCTTCGCTTGTCAATACAATCATAAAACCAGTCCTCTTCAAACTGATATTAAAAAATTCAATTAAACCAGATAATAAAACAATAGATTTTTATGTAAATATTCATTCCTTGATAACTGACTACAGATAAGATAAATTCTGATAGATTAATAATAATAAGATGTGGGATGTAAAGACAAAACCCAAAATTCACATCCACACCCTTCATTGCTGCCTTTCTTCTAATTCTACCAATCTAGATTTTTAACTAGTGTTAATGATGATGAGCAATACCTCACATAGCTTAACTAAAAAGGAGGAGGACGAAGAACTATTAAATAAGTAAAATTCTATTGTCACTGCTTTATCATCAGATATAACTCAACCGAAATTGCCAGATATTTCATTTATTCACTCACAAAAAAGAAAACCTTTGCTCATAGTCTATGAACATGTTTTCAAATTGAATTCAACCACAGCTACTACTAAATATTGGGAATATACATTTGATGAATGTTCAGCAAGAATTCATATATATTTGAATGGTCAAAATATGTGTATTCAATTTAATGTGGGTTTAGGAGTAAGAACAAAACAAACCAAAATAATTCCAATTCAACGTTGTATTAGCGATTTTGATAAACGATATTATTATGGTGCTATAAATGCTATTGAATATCTAGATAGTTCATCATTTATAGTTCCTCAACGAAAAAACGAAAGTTTATGAATTTTTTTTTCTTTTTAATTTTTGACTTATGTTTGATCTCTGTTAGAATGTTAGTATTAACCCATACAATAAAGAATGTCCTTCACTAGTCAGAATCTTTAAAATACTTTTCGACTAGTTTTTCGCTTCGATATTCTTTTTTTCGACGTTTTTCCTGTTCGATATATTTCCCTTCTCTTTTTCGACATTTTTTCTCTTTCGACATTTTTCTTCTTCGATATTTTTCGCTTTCGACATTTTTACGGTCAACCATTGTATGAGCATCGGCGGCCGTGCGAACACATTCAATGTCGATATGTATAGACACACATACATAGATCAAATGAAGTCATGCTCATCGAAGAATGGCCAGTTGAATTATGGCTCGAATTGTTTGTTTATATGTCAACATTTGATCTTGTCGTTAGCTGGTTTGACCTGAATATTCGTTTGAATCGTCTGATTGAACACGCACTTTCACTAGGTCTTCATCAGTTCGATCTTGATGAAAGTTGGACACATCGAACCTTTATGAATTGTGTTGAATATGTATATCCACGTTTGGCTCCTTATGTAAGCAAGATCATCTTGCGTGATACATTCGCCGCTGTACGTCTAGTAGCAAAATCTAGTTATTTTCTTCCTCTTTGTCTCAATGTACGTCGACTAATACTCTGTGAAAATGTTATATCATTTTTTCCATTCAGTCACCTTATAAATATATTCAAAGAGTCATCATTATTACATGAACTGATCATCGAATTTGGCCTTCATGGAAGTGATTACTATTCGAATACACTTGAAAAAATACTCAAAAACAATATTTCATTTCATACTATGCGATTCAATGTTATTGACAGTAAGACAAATTTAAATTCTATATGTTATGTTTTCATATTTTCGTATAGATGCTTCTCCCTATCTCGGCACAAATTTGAACATTTTACATTTCCGTCTCGGAGATGATCATGGAATATGTCTTGCTAATACTGTATGTTTGACATTATTAGTGCAACGATGGTCAAATTTAATTATGCTTATACAAGATGGTTGTTTACCGTTACTTGAAGAACTCGATGTTACAATCGAGGAACGACCTCCATATAATAAACAAGAAAACGATGATGATCGACTTCATTCAGTTAATCTTTTCAAATTACGATCACTTCGTTTATGTGATGTTACATTAAATAATGTACGTGATCTTCTTCGTTATGTATCGTCATTATCTTTCAAACTTGATACACTTTCATTGGTTCGTGTACGAGTAGATGATAATGATAACATCACTAGTCTTGATCATCTAATTGACTTTAAAAATTTACTAATCAATCGTTTATCTTC